GGGTCAAACAGGAAGTCAGGTGGAGGAGGGGGGTCAAACAGGAAGTCAGGTGGAGGAGGGGGGGGCCAAACAGGAAGTCAGGTGTAAGAGTACTGTCCACGTTTAAAAAATCAGCCTCTTTAGTTACTAAAGAGAAAAATGAAGCTTGAGAAAAGTTTTCTGTTTAATATTGTTTCTAAACGTCTCGACTTCTGTGATATTTTGTGAAACTAAAGTGAAGATTTGACCAAATAAAGAAATAAATAAAGTAAAGATCCTTCAGCACTGGTTTTCAGCTTCGGCAAGTGTTTCTGGAAAAGTCCAGCATGGAGTCTTTAAATATCTGTATCAGTGAAGCAGGTTGTGATGTTGAGTTTAATCTCATTTACACGCAGCGGGCTGACCTTTAACCGGGGGGGGGCATGAGGCTGCTCAGAGTTCAGCAGCTGCGTAGATACAGCTTATCTCCCTCCATAAAGACTCACAAACTGATGGSATCTACGCACATAAATATTCTACAATCACACTCCTCTGTCAGGACCCGGCGGGGGCTTCCTGTCAKGTTTACCTGCTGGGGGGGCGGGGTTGACTCAGGTAATTCAGAGGTGAAACAGGAGCGGTCGGGGCGAGGCACGGCTATTTTCAGGCTGGATTGTGTCGCTCACAAACACCGGTTTTAGTCGGGAACAAGCTTGTTTCCTGGCAGTGCTCGGTTCATGGAAGGTCAAAAGTTAATCTGGATTACCTTCAGACTGTTCCCATCTGTTGGAGAGGAAGAATCCAACACAACTAATAAATGTTCAGAGAAACTGTCACCGAACTGAGCTTTATCTGTTTCAGTTGAAACAAAAACGTTTGATTTAACTAAAACACGACTTTATCTGTTTGTTGTTATTGTTTCATATAAAGGAGGAACTTTCCATTTATTCCAGTTATCAAAGACTTAATCTGTTGCTCAGAGATCAGCTGACGGAGCTGCTGAGGACAGAGCAGATTTTAAGGTTTGTCTTATGGCGCCACCTGCTGGTCAGACGAGGAACTCCATTCAAAGATTACAACATACAATAAAACAAATAAAATAATATAAATATATATAAATATAATATCTGCCCCTTTTTTCCCAAGAATAAACTCAAAGAATAATCTACAGCTAACTGTTAGTGACATCATTAATTAGTTTCTGTCAGACACTGACCTCCTGCCTCGTCTTCCTCAGCAGCCAGAGACACGCCCAGCCCCATCGACCCAGAGTCCATCCAGGTGCCCGTGACCTACGATCCGGACCCCGCAGACCTGGCCCTGTCCAGCGTGCCGGGCCAGGAGATGTTCGACCCCAGGAAGCGCAAGTTCTCCGCCGAGGAGCTGAAGCCACAGCCCATGATCAAGAAGGCTCGCAAGGTCTTCATCCCCGAGGACCTGAAGGTGAGCCGTCTGTTGTTGGTGTTTGTCTGTTTGTTTATGTTGTTTTGTTTGTTTTATATGTTTGTTTATTTTGGTTTGTTAGTTTAGTTTAGTTTCAGTTGTTTTCCTTTGTCTATTTTTATTGTTTATTTAGTTTTGTTTGTTTAGTTTTGTTTGTTTGTTTGTTTTGGTTTGTTTGTTTATCATTTTGTTTGTTTCATTTGGTTTTGTTTGTTTGTTTTGTTTGTTTTTCTGTTTGTTTGTTTATTTTGGTTTGTTTGTGTATTGTTTTGTTTGTTTTGCTTATTTGGTTTTGTTTGTTTATTTTGTTTTGGTTTATTTTGGTTTATTTATTTTGGTTTTCTTTGTTTGTTTTTCTGTTTGTTTAGTTTCATTTGTTTGGTCTGTTTGTTTGTTTGTTTATTTAGGTTTGTTTGTTTTGGTTTATTTTGGTTTATTTATTTTGGTTTTCTTTGTTTGTTTTTCTGTTTGTTTAGTTTCATTTGTTTGGTCTGTTTGCATGTTTGTTTTGGTTTGTTTGTTTATGTTTATTTAGTTTTGTTTATGTTTATTTTGGTTTGTTTGTTTATTTTGGTTTTGATAGTTTCTTTTTGTTTAGTTTCATTTGTTTTGTTTGTTTTGTTTTATTTGTTTTTGTCAGTTTCTTTTTGTATGTTTGTGTGTTTTGTTTGTTTTTGTATGTTTGTGTGTTTTGTTTGTTTTTGTATGTTTGTGTGTTTTGTTTGTTTTTGTATGTTTATGTGTTTTGTTTTTTTGTTTCTTTGTTTTTGTTTGTTGGTTATCGATTTGTTTGTCTGTATTTTCCATTTCCTTGCGTAGTTTGTTTTTGTTTGTTTGTTTGTTTGTTTGTTTTTCCGGTTACTTCAGCTTCTAACTCCGCCCCCTCCCCTCCCCTCCCCTCCCCCCTGCAGGACGATAAGTACTGGGCCCGGCGCAGAAAGAACAACGTGGCGGCCAAACGCTCGCGGGACGCCCGCCGGCTGAAGGAGAACCAGATCGCCATCCGGGCCGGCTTCCTGGAGAAGGAGAACGCTGCGCTCCGCGTGGAGGTGGCGGACTTGAGGAAGGAGCTGGGCCGCTGCAAGAACGTTCTGGCTAAATACGAGGCCCGGCACGGGCCGCTGTGAGGCCCCCCCCACC